TATATATATATATATATATATTTATATGTATGGGATGTAAAGTACAGCATAGGGAATACAGTCAGTGTTATTGTAATAGCTATGTACAATGTAAGATGGGTAGATGATTTGTTGGGGTTATCATTTTGTAAGGTGTGTGAATGTCTAATTATTATATTGCTTTTGTACAACTGAAACTAATACAAAAATTTTAAAAACATAAAAAATATATTCAGCAATCAGTTGCGTTCTTATATACCAATATCAAAATATGAGAAAGTGAAATTAAGAAAACAACCCTATTTACAATTGCATCAAAAAGAATAAAATACCTAAGGAATAAGTTTAACCAAGGAAGTAAAACACCTGTACTCAAAAAGCTTATATGACGGGCTGGCCGGGTGGCGCAGTTGGTTTAGAGTGCAAGCTCTGAGCAACAGGGTCATTGGTTCTATTCCCACAGGAGCCAATGAGCTGCGCGCCTGAGCTGAGTTGCCGCTGAGCCGCCAACAGGTGAGAGCACATGCGTGCTCTAAACAACAAGGTTGCCGGTTGGACTCCAGCATGGGATGGTGGGCTGTGCCCACCCGCAATTAAGATTGAAAGCAGCGAATGGACTTGGAGCTGAGGTTGTGCCCACCACAGCTAAGACTGAAGGACAACAACTTGACTTGGAGCTGATGGGTTCTGGAACAACATAGTGTTCCCCTCCCCAATTCCCCAACACTGTTCCCTTTCCCAATTCTCCAATAAAATCTTGGACATTAAAAACAAAAACTGTAAGACATTAAAAAACAAATTGAAGAAGATACAAATAATGTAAGGATGTACTGTGTTCATGGATAGGAAGAATTAACATCGTTAAAATGTCCACACTATCCAAAGCAATCTACAGATTCAGTACAATCCTTATTAAAATACCAATGGCATTTTTCACAGAACTAGAATAATCGTAAAATTTCTATGGAACCACAAATGACCCTGAACAGCCAGAGCAATCCTGAGAAAGAAAAACAAAGTTGGCTATCAAACTATACTACAAGGATGTAGTAATCAAAACATCATGGTACTGGCATAAAAACAGACACATCAATCAATGGAACAGAATAGAAAGCCCAGAAATAAAGCATTGCTTATGGTCAATTAATCTATGACAAAGGAGGCAAGAATATACAATGGTGTAAAGACAGTCTCTACCATGAGTGGTGTATGAAAAACTGGACAGATGACATGCAAAAAATGAATCTAGACCACTTTCTTATACCATATACATGAGTCAACTCAAAATGGATTAGACTTAAATATAAGACCTGAAACCTTAAAATTCCTAGAGGAAAAGGAGGCAGCAACCTCTCTGGCATTGCTCTTAGTAATATTTTTTTGGCTATATCTCCGCAGGCAAGGGAAACAAAAGAAATATTAAATGGGACAACATCAAACTAAAAAGTGTTTGCACAGGAAAGAAAGGAAACCATCAACCAAAGTAAAGACAACCTACTGAATGGGCGAAGGTATTTGCCAATGATACATTTGGTTAACATCCAAAATTTAAAAATAACTCATTCAGGGCCAGTCGAGTAGCGCATTGGTTAAGAGTTGGCTTGGGACACCAGCTCTGAGCAGCAGGGCTCCAGTTCGGATTCCACATGAGGGCCAGTGATGCTGCGCCCTCTACAGCTAAAATGGTGAACAATGGCTCGACCTGGAGCTGGGCTGGCCGTGAGTCACCGGCGACGGTGTAGGCTGCAGTGGAGCTGCAGTGGGCTGCCATAAGCTACTGTGAATGGCCAGCAGCCGGCGTAAGCGGCTGTCCAGTGGCTGGTGACCAATCTGCCTCAGCCAGGAAGAGCACATAATGATAATACCAACATGGGCCAGTGAAGCGATGTCCTCCACAACTAGACTGAAGAACAAAAGGACAGCAAGTTGTCTGTTCCCCTTACCCGATTCCCCAACGCTGTTCCCTTCCCCCAATTCCCCAATAAAAAATCTTAAAAAAATAAATAAAAATAACGCATTTAGCTTAACACCAAAAAACTGCAAACAATCCAATTAAAAAGTGGGCAGAGGACCTGAAAACACATTTCTCCAAAGAGGACATGCAAATTGCCAATAGACGTATAAAAAGATGCTCAAAGTCACTAATCCTCAGAGAAATGCAAGTTAAAACCACAATTAGATATTACTTCACATCTGTGAGAATGGCTACCAATAAATCAACAAACAACAAGTGTTGGTGAGGACGTGGAGAAAGGGAACACTTGTGCACTGTTGGTGGGATTGCAAAGTGGTACAGCCACTATGGAAAAAGTACAGAGGTTCCTAAAATTTTAAAATAAAGCTACCATATGACCCAGCAGTTTTACTTTGGGTATTTATCCGAAGAAATACAAAACACAAATTCAAAAAGATAATATGCATCCCTATGTTCACTGCAGCATTATTTACAATAGTAAAGAAATGGAAGCAACCTAAATGTCCATCGATAGACAAATGGATCAACATTTATACAACGGAATATTTCTCAGCCATAAAAAAGAATGAAATCTTGCCATTGCGACAATGTGGATGGTCTAAGAGTGTATTATGCTAAGTGAAATAAGTCAGGAAAAACAAACACCATATGATTTCACTTATATATGGAGTTTAAAAAAGCAAAATAAATGACAAAACAAAATTGTAGAAACACATAACAAAATGGTGGTCACCAGATGGCAGGGGCTTGGAGGGATGAGTTAAAAAGGTGAAGGGATTAAGAAGTACTGGGATGAGTAAAAAAGGTGAAGGGATTATGTACTAATTGCCAATTATAAAAACAGACACAGGAATGTAAAGTACCACACAGGGAATATAGGCGATAATATTGTAATAATTATGTATGGTTCAGGTGGGTACTCGACTTAATGGGGGTATCACTTTATAAGGTATATAAATGTCTAATCATTATGTTGTGTCCTGAAATATAATATTGTATATCAACTGTAATGGAAATACGTATGTATATATTTGTAAAGCGCACATGGAAAAGACAAAGTAAAGGTCTATAAACCAAAATAACAACTGTTGGGTGTGTTAATGTGATAGGATTAGGGAGATTTTTTTTCCTTTATGTATTTTAATATTGCTTTTATAATATAGATTTTAAGCACCAAGTTTACAATGTAACATTTCTTTGTAGGAGCAAAGGTTACTTTTAATTTTGAATCTTATCTGAGAGCCTTCTATAAATTATCTTAGTGTTTCTAAGAAAACTATACTACTGCCTGCCTTTTCACATCTAATCAAGTCCTTTCTCAGAGTAACATGTAATGACTTTGATGTTAGAGCCTCAGCAAAGCAAAAGTATCTGTACTAGCTTTACAAAATTATCCTCAAGGAGATATAAGTGATAGTTAATTCCTGTCAGTTTGTCTTAAATTTTTTTGTTTCAAAAGAAGCATCTACTTTAAAATCATTAAAGAGGTACAATAAAGTGATTTCAAAGATCTGAGACTAACATGTTTTTTTTCTTTCTTTCTTTAATAGCTCCCAACAATAGTAACCAAGACATGTCAGCCTGGTTCAATCTATTTGCAGACTTGGATCCACTTTCAAACCCAGATGCTATTGGACACTCAGATGATGAACTTCTTAATGCTTGACTGAAATTATGAAATAACTTTAGTAGCATTAAGACATCAATTTTGTAACATATTGCCTGGTGGAAAGGACTTTATATTGTAACCCATACCCAAAAGCATCGTGTTTGTGAATATAACACTTGTCAGCCAACTTTAAACAGATAGCAAGAACCACATCTGAATAGTCTTTTTAATATCTTAGATTTGCAGCTGTTGATAATATGTGGAAAATTTTAGAAACTGTTGAGTCTGAAATAGATGAATTTCAAAATAACAACTAGGAATGTTCTGTCAATAAGGAGTTGGGCTTATTTTTTTGGAAAGCCTTTTATGTAAGAGTTGCTGGCTGTGATAATTTTTTATGTGGATAAAGGACAGCATGTAAATTGGGTGATTTGGTGTTCGTTTTTAAATAAAATAGTGGCAAGCAGAATTTTCTGTTGTGGAAAACAGCACTAGAACCAGACCAGTTTCATCTTTAGTCAGAATGGTAGAATAAGATTTGAGAACGCAATTTGCTTTAATGAAATCACAGAGAAACCTGGTGCTTGTTTTCTCCACTTGGAGGCTACAATGTAGTATTCCTCAGTTTTTTTCCTTTATAGAAAATCATGGACCCCCTCTCCCCCGCCCCTCAATTCCATTATCTAATTTTCATGGAGAAGTAGCAGGATGATGTATTTGCTAAGTATATCCTCCGTAGAAACAGAAAAATCTCTTCCCATTTCATAAATCAGAAGGATATCTCATAATATTCAAGACATTGTACAGGTATTTTCAGGCTTGATTTTTCATATTGCTACCATAATGTACAGTATTTATACTCTTCCTGAAGAGGAGAGGACACTCCCTAAGCAATTGTCAATAGCATTCCTGAAATTACCCAGAAACTTCCATCTGAATGAGGGAAAAATTCTAAACACCTTATACTTATACATATTTGCATAATTACCCAGATTTCTTGACGTGATTCAATCCAGAATACTTTCTGGCTGAGTTACAGAAAGCTCTTCAAGATCAATAAGGAATGTTTTATTTTTCAACTTTTCTTTCTTTGGGTGACATCATCTGAGGCTCTATTTGATTACTAAGGAAAAACTGTTAACCCATAGAGGGTTTTGAATCTCGTAAGTATAGGGTGAAAGTTATTTAATTGAAACTAGTGTACGGTAATGAAAACAGCCACTGTATATACACATCAATCACTCAATGTCCTGTTTTTCTTGCCCACCTTTAGTTTTGTGGCAGTTCACCAGGTGTCTTTATTTTTGTCATCCAGTCCATTGTATCTCCATAAGAAAACATTTTAATGTAATTGTTCACAATAGTTTCCATGTGCTCTTAGTTCTAAACAGGCTTATATTTATAAGAGAATTGCTTGTAATGTCTGAGTCATTGTATATAGAAAAACATTTTTTAGGAATGGACCAGAGTAGGTAAAATGCAGTCCACCTCCCATCCATAGCAGGCTAGCCTAACTACAATCTGAACTGCCCACGAGCTCTCCAGAAATTCACAACTATGGGCAAGTACTGCATATGCTGGAAACACCTTTTCTAGGGTCAGAAACATGGACCCTAGGAAGTCTTTCCTTACAATATTTTCACGCTTTTTTTTTTTTTGGTTACCCCTTCAGAAACAATTTTAACTCTTGCTTTTTATTCAGTGAAATTCCCAAGAATGCAATACTTTGTTCTGCCAAGATTCAATCACCAAGGGTATCAATTATGTTTCCCAATCTAAGCTCTATACCCAAGGTGACTGCTGTCAGCTTTGAGTATCTCAGAAAATGCTAACTTTATGCCATTGAGTTTGTACAATTTTTCTGTTACTAAATTCTTTCATTAAGGCATTAGTTCAAAACTATCTCCCTGATATGCATGCAAAGCAGTCCATTATCTCATATAAACAAAGACACCAGTTTCAGAGGAAAACTACTAGTCTCTCCCTCCAAGCAAAGTCTGAATCCCAGACTATAAATGTGAAGGGATACTGCCCTCAATTTTCCAAGAGCAAAGGGTCTCAAAAAAATAGAAACAATGAATTTCTATTATTCCATTCTTAGTGTCTCTAGCTAGCATTGTCTTCTAACAGAGTACGTAACCCATTTAACCCAATGCAACAATAACTGCTTTTAGCAAGTCTAGTAATAACTTCAACAAGTCCAACAACTTTTTAAAAGCACATTAAAAACTTAGTTATTAAAATTAAGGCAACCATTCATATTTTCTCAAGATTAGTTATTTGAAGCTCATTCATTCATTTACGGACCTGAAACAGAAATTTGGCTAGTATACACCTAGACTGCTAATACAGGAAACCAACCACATGTTCAGTAGGGAGTGAAGGATGGATGGGACAGAATAAACACAGAACAGAAAGGTGACCAGTTGCTATTTGTCTATATTTAGATCTTCCATTCAATAAAAAGTAAATTAATTAACTTAAAACAAAGGTAGGCTAACAACAACTCTTTCAAAAATAAATAGATGTTTTTTATATTAAATGGGGGAAATACCTATCTTCTACCTTTTAATAGGAAATAAGAATGCATTTAACATTAGGAAAGTCCAGATTTAAAATCTGCCTTATCTTTCTACAACCACTTCACTTGAAAGGCAGGAATACCAGGGCATATTAAGATCAGATAGGTGTAACTTTATATTTTTGAAATCTTTCATTAATTGTAAAACAGCTCTGATATGGTTAGAAACAAACTGTATTTTAACAAAGTAAGTTTCAGTATTTACAAAATGACAAAAAAAGTGTTTGTATTTCAACTATGGATATTTATTTCACATAACTATCTTTATAGACCATCTGGAAATGTAGTTTTTACAGCATAAGAACAAAGGAAGTTTGAATGTGCTCTATTTTTTGTGAGCCTCTTTTAATAAAGATTATAAGATGGCATAAACAAAAAAGTTTATTTCTTAAAGCACTCAATACAAATACAATTATTGTTTCCCAATTCAAAAACTTGGGTTTTACCTTAGGAACATAGTAGTGAGAAAGGCAGTTTGAATTGATATAGTTACCACAGAAAGAACATAAACCCCGGACAATTAATATCCTTGAGACTCATTCTAATTTACTTCTTACATAAAGGGCTCTCTGTAAGATACAGGAAATAACAGAATGTGTGTTGTGTAAATACTCTCAATAACAAAATACAAACTATCAAATATCAAAATTTTGAGCCTAAATGCAATAACCAGTGAAATATAAGCTATAGTATTTAACCTGATTTCCTGAAGGCAGGAATAAAAAGAAGAAAGCCAGAATTGCTCCAGCACATTGGCAGGGCCCCTGCGTTTCCTTTCCTTTAGCAATGAAGCAGCCCCAGCATCTTCGGATATAGAAATTAGGAAGGAAATTCAAACTTTAAAATATTAACTCAGCAGTACTGAAAGTTATGCATTTAAAACATACAACGGTAAGTTGTTTAAATATGGCTAAGAAAACCTATGGAACAGGGTGGGAAGAAGAATGTTTGCTGGTCAGGATGGGTCACATCCATAAGCCCAAAATAAAATTTCTTCTTCCATTGTTAAGTGCCATTTAAAAGGACACTAAAGAGTTCAATACAAACAATCCTTGGCATAAATAGGTAAGATTTTGAAGTGCACTGTTTTTAAAGTTGTTTGCTTTTTCCATTTCATAGTAATACCCTCTCATTTAAAAGTCTGAAAAACCCTAAAAAGAAAAAGAAATCATCCACAGCACTACCAACCAGGAATAAACAGTTAACATTATATATGATGTTGTAGTGCCTCTGAGCTCATGAATGATTTAAATTGTGATCCAGGTGGTTTCATTTTATTGTCTTCTCTGTCTGAAATGAGTATAACCAAGTTATTGAGATTGAAGAAATTACTTTTATTAAATCTTTTCCTCAAAAATTAAAAAAAAACTACCAAAATTGTGACTGACGTCACTTTCTGTGTCTCTAAAAAATGTACTTTCCAAATTAAAGAAAATATTTCTCTTGAATTTCTATAACTATAGTAACCTTAAGCCCAGAGCGTGAGGATTTGTGTCCTCACTAACTTGCTTGGTTAGGAACTGGTGTCTGACCAGCTTACTTTCTCTTTGCCTTCTGAACCAAGCTGCCAGCAGCTGAAGCAAAGAAGTCCACACAGGAGAACAAACGGCAGTGGCCCAATAGCACATAATGTGCAACGATACTGAAAACCTCTATTTTATCACTGTCACTGTTACAGGAGAAGTAGCAATAAGATTTTGTGGTTACGTTTGAGTTCTAAAGTCAGTCTTGGTTCAAAACCAGACTTTGACATTCCCCAGATGTATGACCATGGATAAAATTAACCTAATTCCAATTTTGTCATCTATAAGATAGTAAAAATAGCAATACCTGACTCCATAGGGTTTTAACAATGAGGGTAAACAGTAACATACAAAGTGCCTGGCACTTGGTAAGCTATCATTAAGTGTTACCTATTTTTATTATGATTTCAGCTCAACAGCCTTGACTATAATATACAAGATAAAATGAATTCAATGGGGCCATTTTCTATGATCAAAAAGCTTTCGGCTTTCCTAAGGAATAAAGTTACCTAGCAAAAAAAGGAGGTAAGTGTTTGCTTCAAGTTTTAAAAGTTAAGCTATTTTCATATTTACTAGACATTTAACTAACAGCACTATCATCAGTACTTCATCACATAATTAAGAACACAGGTTCAAAGAGGTGATTTTTTTAACCCAATATCCCATGACCATTAAGCTGCAGAGCCAGAACTAGTACCCAAATTGTAGCCCTAAACCCAAGGCTTTTCTGCCATCTTTGAATCATCTCAATGATCTCAAAAATAAATGCTTAACACATGGAATTGAGATGAATGCTTATACTCCTGACAACTTCTACAGAGCCTCCTAACAACTTCTGTAAAATATAATGTTTAGCAGGAGATAAATTCTCAGTTTGAGGAAGATACAAACTGTTGAAAAGACAAATATTTTTGACAAAACCAGCAATTTGGAGATACTTATTAAAGGGATGTAGAAACTGTCTTACAAGACTCCAGTCTCATCTCTGTTATGATACCAGACCATCGCAAAGGCACATACACAAACTGTACCTAACAGTACTTTTCAAATCCTTTTGTTTACAACCCACAGTAAGAAATAAATCTTACTGGGCCAGCCGAATGGCGCGTTGGTTAAGAGCTGGCTTGGGACGCCAGAGAGCCCCGGTTCGGATCCCACATATGAGGGCCAGTAACACTGCCCTCTACAGCTAAGATGCTGAACAACAGCTCAACCTGGAGCTGGGCTGCCGGGAGTCGCTGGCGACGGCATAGGCTGCAGCCCCTGCTGCAGTGGGTTGCCATGGGCTACCGTGCGTAGCCAGCAGCCAGCGTGAGCGGCCAGCAGCCTCCGTGAGCGGCCGTCCAGAAGCTGGCAACTGATCTGCCTCGCCCAGGAAGGGTGCAATGATGGTGCCAACTTGGGCCAGTGAAGCAAGGTCCTCCACAACTAGACTGAAGAACAAAAGGACAGCAACTTGTCTGTTCCCCTTCCCCCAATTCCCCACATTAAAAAAAGAAATACATCTTACTTTACAACCTAGTATGTATGTACTCATGCGCCGCTTAACGACAAGGATACGTTCTGAGAAATGTGTCACCAGGCAATTTCATCATTGTGCAAACATCACAGAGGGCACTTACACAAACCTAGTGGTACAGCCTACTACTACACAGCTAAGCTCCATGGTACACCCTATTGCTCCTAGGCTACAAACCTGTACTGTACATTACAGTACTAAGGGAGGCAATTGTATTATACAATGATTAAGTACTTATATACCTAAACACATCTAAAGCTAAAAAAGGTACAGTACAAATACAGTATAAAAGAAATGGTACACCCCTATAGAGCACCTACCATGAATGGAGCTTGCAGGACTGGAAGTTGCTCTGGGTGAGTTAGTTGGTGGTGAGTGAATGTGAAGGCCTAGGACTACTGTACAGTACTGGAGACTCTTTATAACCATTGAACACTGAGGCTACACTAAATTTATACAACATGAGATTAAGCACACGAGATTATGCAATCAAAATGGAAAGAAAGCAGGAGATGAGGTTGTTACATGTAACATGCCATACTGTTTTACAGAAAACTTTTTTATAAGTATTCTAAAATATGACAAAAAGTGTATTATAGTAAATACATACACCAGAAACACTGTCATTTATCATCAGGTATGTGCTGCGCATAATTCTATGTGCTACACTTTTATACGACTGGTAGTGTAGGTTTTATACCAGCATCACCACAAACACGTTGAGTGATGCACTCCGGTAGGGTATTCCAATGGCTAAGATGTCACGAGGCAAGAGGAAGTTTTCAGCTCCATGGCACGCTTGTGGGATGACCACCATATATGCCATCCATCGCTGACTGGCACATTGTTATGCTTTAACTGGATCTCTTGGTCTAGAAAATGTTTTACACGCAAATAATACTCTCGTGTGAATATACTTGTTTTCTATTCTGCTTCATTTAAAAAAAAAAAAAGTTGGCTGGGCCTATTCATTTCAAGATCCAAACCGTTTGAAAAACACTAAATCAAAGAGATACAAATGCTATTTATATTATCATACCATGTTAAGTTTAAAATAAAGATATTTAATAAACACACCTAACCTTAGCAAGAACAACTGATATTGATATACAGCAGGTCAACTCATTATAACTTAACTCATAGGAACTTAACTCTTGTTTTTATCAGCCTACAGTAAAACTGGTTTCATTATAAATCGTTTTTCTAAAGTCGCAGAGCCTATCGATGACATTAAGTGAGGACTTGACTGTACCTTGCCAGGAAACGGCTATGAAGAGAATACTCTGTTTCATACCCAATCACTTAAAAGCAATTGAAGGGAAAGGGTCATTATATACCAAAAAACTTTTCTTTGGTGTTATTTAATACTAATGTAAAAAAATAATAAATGGGGGAAGAGGGCAACACTCAGCTTGAAATCTAAATTTGCTCCTTTCAATCTCTTTAAAGGTGGGAGGGATAAAACAAAAATGGGAGAAAATTTGAACCAATTTGAGATTCTCTCCACATTTGATGCTAAGTACACACACACACACACACACACACACACACACACACACACACACACACACACAAAATTAGTTATCCCCAAATTCTGGTTAATCTTTCCCCTCAGAAATAATTTTTTCTAAGTTATTTGGTAACCACTTCTTATGACTGACAGCCGTGGTAACTTTTTAAACTTCCCTTAAAAGGTGTCCCTGCTTTCTAAAGTGGTTATACTGCACGAAGTCTTCACTAGAGCATATCTGACTGCGTCTGTTGAGTGCATCCAGACTAAATCCCTCAGCCTGAACAACTGTCTTGCATAAATAAACCACTGTCACAAAGGAAGAATAGGCTGGTTTAGCAAGAATGAATTACCAACACAAAAGAAAAAAAAATACCCTCTTGTGTGTTCCTCAGAATGAAACTGAATGCCCAGCTAAATCTCTTGAACTGTGAAGTACTAAATTACTTATGAACACATATATCCTTCAGTGTACTTGCTTATATTTTAATGTTTGCTTATCATTTACCACAAGGATAAGGTACTTGAAATTCTGGAGCAAGTAAGGAGGTAGCAAGGAAATAACTGACACTATTATGTATCCTACTTCACACACTCATTTTTTTGTCAGTTTGTGAAAAAAGAATATACTATTTAGAAGTTATTTCAGGCTAGAAGTGTCTGAAAAAAATTTGAATTTGAGGCAACATTCATAAAAATACACAGGAAAAAACTCAAGAAGAACAGACTTTATTTTTAACATAAAAGTTCTATTTTCTTGTGAGGCAGCAACAAGTGTTCAGATACAGGGAATACATAAGTACATAGTAACAATATTTATCACCATTGGAAATGCTATTTTGGGGGAGAATTTTGTTAGAAAAACAAAATTTTTAAAAATTGCATTTTAAAAAGATTTACACAGCTTCAACAGAGATGAAAGATACAGACTTTAAAAAAACATAAATTATATTTTTCAACAGGATTGTATAAACAAAATATTGTTCAGGACTGCTCTGCTTATCATTATTTTATGCAGAGTAAAACTTAAACCTTAAAGTGCAGAGTTAAGTATTCTTAGCTTAATGCAATTCAGCACTTCCACTGGTCCGGTTTTGAGACATCAAAATTCCAAGCATTAAGGAATTAATCTTAAGTTTAGAACAGTAATGTAAATTCAGTAATGGCAATTTTTCTTTTATTTCCTTTAACAAAAGAAAATCCTGACAACCCAGTCCTAATCTTGCACCATACAAAAGGCTACAAATTCTGCCATTTTTTTATTACCTTCCAGTAAAAGCCAACCATTAAAAAGAAAAGAAAAAAAAGGCCTTTCTTGTTGCCAGTTATTTCACAGCTAGCAATAGCACCTTCTAAAAGGCTGATTTGGCTTGTCATAAGTGTAAGAAATATTTTAAATAAAATGAAAAATCTAGATCAAAAATAATTTTGGCATTCATGCTCACCACATTAACCAAAAACGCAAAACAGGTGTTTTCAAACCATAATTGCTCACAAAAGCCATGACAAGTAATAGACTTAATCATGATCAAAACCAGTAAATTTACATGTTTTATCATCACAAAGAAGAAATTGTTTAAGGGTAAAATAACTTAAGACTGACAAAGTGGATAACCACAGAATAGTTCCTTTTCCCGAAATATACATGCCACCTATTTCTTTCGTTTACTGCAATGGAAATACATTTATTTAAAATTTAAAAAATTTTAAATTATATTCCCATTGAAGCTATTCTAATTCATTTACCTTCTGTACAGTTTTCTACAGAATAACAAGATAATTATGGAATGTAATTTTAGAAAACAGTATTATGTATTCTACTGAGACACATTTAAAAAAAAAATTAAACCACCTGTGAAATAAGGGTTAAATAAAAACTATGGTTAATATTTTTTCAAGACTGCAATAAAGCTCATATGCTTAAAAATTAGCCCTTTGGCACTGGCAGAGTTGTTTGTACCTTGTACCATTTATTTTTTTTTCCTTCAAATCTCAGGCTCTATTTCTCCCAAACCCAAGGGATATGTTTGGTTGCTATACAATTCATTTACCTGCAAATTCACATTCTCCTTACAACCAAGCATTAGAAATTCCATTTATAAGATTATGTAAATAATAAATCTTAAAACTTGTTCTCCCATTCTGATTTTAAGTTACTTTAGATTAAGGATATACGAAATTCTACAGAAAAATGTGAATTAGACAAACACACACAACAGTAAAAGGAAAAACTGGGGCAGTCTAGTTGTAAAAGCCCCTTGTGACTTATAGAGATGGAGACAGAAGAAAGCGTAAGGCAAAGAAAATATAGATTTAACAGAACTCAAGTAATCCAAAAACTGCGGGATTTTATTTTAAATCTTGTTTTAACTCCTTCTCCTACCATTTAAGCCAACTCATCTGATTTCAGTTCTGCCTTTTCTTCTGTACTTTTGATAGAGCAGTGGTGATATGGTCAAGTCAAAGGCATAACAAAGGCAAAGAATCAAGGTTCACAAGAAACCCAGCAGAAAATTTGATCCTGAAGAACTGAGCTTTCACTGATTTATAATACAAGCCACAATGTACTAATTCCAGGTAAATTAATGTTGGATGAAAAACTTACCAAAATTCATTAGTCCCACCAACTGAAACCTGACAGACTTATTCACGTTTGAATTTATCTAACTTGCCTAAATATATCTCCGTTTTAAACTTAACAGGACATACTTTTGATTACTTACATGTTTTAAAGGTGCATGAGTATAAGAAGTCCTTTCAGGAGATTTATTGCTACCACTAAGTTTTCTTTGATGGGATATGTCGGGATAAACTGACATATTAACCCTCTAAACTGTATCCCTTTTACAAGTATTTAAATCTTTTCCTCCCTTTAATATGCATAAGAACATTAAATTATTGCATCATAAGGTAGTATATGAAGACCTTTAGAAGGATGCTTTTTATCAACATCGTTTGCTGAAATTCATTTTTAAAAAGAGCTGCTCCTTAACTTCACAACCGCATACCCAGACATGAAATACTGCTGTCATGTAATATTGGCAGTGATTGTATTAGGATGAGCCTAAATCCAAAACTATACGGATTTTTCAAAGGTTCCTGTTATTTATGCTCCAAAGATCCCCTTGCCTGTTTTCCCCACTGTGTGGAATGTTGGAGGGACAACTAGCAAAATCTGTAGGCAACAATGTATCTCAGTGCCAACCACCAAAAATAAAAGGTCAGTCACAAGATTCTGTGACTACGGATTGCTATTCAATGGGTTACACTCCTGGCAAACTACTAACCCTGACCAAATCCACAAGACAACGACATCACAAAAGCAAAGGAGGAAATCCATGCAGTCATTTTAGGATCTCTTGGGACTATGATACAGCAGTGATTAAAGGTAGAATGACACCTCTGGTAAAGGGATCGTGTAATAAATACTGCACAGAAAGCCAAAAGGGCTCCTTACTCCTAGCTATCAACACTTACTCCTAGCTTCCTTTTGGCTCACTGACTTTTAAACCAACTTCCAATGACAGGTGAGAACATATTAAGCACTTGTCTCCAAACTTTTCTGACCACATGGTGAAATGTGTACAGGAGTAGTGAAGAAAACAGCAGTTATACAAATAGTTCACCCAAAGCACAAACTTCTGACATCAAAAAACATAAATCACATAATGTACTAATATTGCTTTTTATCTCTTTTTATATATACTTGTTCAATGCATTTACCTATCAATTCTTGTTTGGGAGAAGAACACAGTCATGAGATTAAGATTGCTGGGAAAATGTCAACAATCCCTTTGGTCCCAAAGCTGAAAACAGCTGAGAAAAGCACACATCTAGAAAGGGAAACAAGAAACAGAGGCCACCAAAGAATCTTTTGAACATCCTGTTAGCTACGTTTCAGAAAATGTAACATTGGTATTATAAAATAGTCATCTTCATATAAAAGATGGTTCTTGCAGCATCATTCACGTCTCCAGGAATCATGTTTGTAGGGATCAAGTTATTGTTTCTAAAGTTTAATTTGAAAACAAGCCCTCCAAAAGTAAAGAATGAGACCTTTCTTGTTTCAACCACCGCTTTAGGAAAAAGCAGGCTAAGTACTGAGGGCAGGCCTTCATGATTGAGCAAAGCCATCAGAGCTTTCTTCCAGAAGTTGTACTGTGATGCGTCACTGTGGAAACCTGGAGCACGTCACAGCCAACTGGGAGCTCACAATGCCATCCATCATAGTCAAGTGGTCTGAGGAGGTTCCCAGTTGCCCAGAACAATGGCTATGCAGCACCGGGCCTAGCCTTCAGCTTCCTCGATCGGTTCTGGTGGTGTGAGTAGAGAGGCGGCTGGCATTACTGTACTTGTTCCTCGAGAGACTCGGTCTTGCTCTGTGTTTGCAGACAGGGAGGCCACAGCAATAGGCTGCAACAGAGTGGTTGTCATGCCAGTGGTGACTGTCAGACTGTGGCCAGAGCCCTTGAGGGTAAGATCTGGTGTAGGAAGAAGTGGCTTGAGGATGCTGACGAGGCAGAAAGCAGAACCGCTTTTAGGAATGAAATTCACCTTGTTTTTATCAGGACAGTAAAAAGCTGGGATTTCGTGAAGTTGTTTTGGCCTAGACATAGAACAGACAACCCAATACTTTTAAGTCACGGAACACTGGAAGTAAGCTCTTTTATTTTTTTTAATACATAAAAGGAATACAAAACTCAAGCTATGTCAGAAGTTTCAAATGCTATGAACCAAAGTAGAATTAGACATACAATTCAAAATATGTATTTTAGAATGCCAGGACAGCATTCATTGTTGCTGCTCTCATTTCCCTGACAAGCCTGGGCACCACACACAGGTAGCTCAGGTTGGACCACAGCATCTCAGTAAAGATCTAAGATAAACTTTCCTAAAGCAAAAGAAATTCTAGATGTTCAGACAAAAGATGTTCCACTACCATGATTTTCCAAAGTCTGTATTATTTTGAAGGGAGAGGCAAAGAAATTAAATGACATACAATGTCCATCTTTTGTTCCACCATTGCATGACTAAACTTTGGGAGGCCCTAGTTTTCTCTTGAAATGCGCTTTAAAATCTCTGATTGAAACAATTCTTTGAGTTAGCCATGATGGTTTTCTGAGTAAGGTAACAAAAATGTGAAATCAAAATAAAACTTTGCTCTGAAACTTCTATTAAAGCCAAATCCCTTCTTGTCTCCAAGTGCTCCTGAAAATTAACCCAAATAATTGCAAAAGGATACTAATGTTAATTGTATTCTGTGACTATAAAATATAAAACAAATTGTTAAAGTAACATGGAAGTGCCAAAAAATGAAAAAGAAATTAAGGTGAAAGAACCTAATTAAATCGAAACTCAGGTGTAAAAACATAACATGATCATATGATAAAAGTATGGTTCTCATCTTCAATGAAACAACAAAAAAACCCTGAATGTGCCAAGTCTGCACTAGATTCTGGGGACCCAAAGATGAAACAATCTACAAGCAGACATAAGTATATAGATCTGGTGGGGGGAAGGAAGTACTAAGGACAGAACTGCATTTCAATATAATTAGCCTCCTTTGTAATCTTGTGTGCTTCATACATTTAAAAACATTACTCAGAGAAGTTACAGATTACTTTAAAGTATCTGTAAGCTTTACCAGATGGCCAAAGATGTCCACAGCACAAAAAAAGTTAAGAACTCCTGCAAGAGGGTCTCACAAATGTGATAAAATTGGCTTGTAAAAGATTTAGAAATAGCACAAAGGAGGGGATAACCTCCTTTGAGAAGAAGAGGGAGAGTTTGGTAGGAAGCAGTTTTCCAAAGAAGTCACATTTGAGCTGGTTTTAAAAGAATGAATAAACAACAGACCCGAGGAATGGGTACAAAAAAAAAAAAGTTTTGGGCCAGCCGAGCGGCTCAGTTGGCTAAGAGCTCGCTCAGAGTGCGAGCTCTGAGCAACAGCGGTTCGATTCCCAGCCCAAGCTGAGCTGCCGCTGAGCTGCCAACAGGTGGCAGGATGGCTCAGCTAAAAAAAAAAAAGTTTCAAGTAAGCAATGCTTTAGGTGAGCAGATTTTACTGATTAATAGTGAATACATGGACAGCTTTGACAAATATGATAATTTAGGATCAAAGAAATTGAATGTTTTATTTGTACACTATTTTTTCTTGACTATAACAGAAACTTAACATGTTGAGTACTTTTAGGGCCACAAGTGAATTTGGACTTATGATTGATAAGAGCACACACACCCCTTTATTTTCACTATATGAGTATGGTTTTCAACTGCTTAAAAGAAGATAGGAAGTTAAATAAATGCCTGCATTTTCTTTTGAAGACAGAATTATTAGAGATAACTTTCTTATATTAGGCAAAAAAAGCTAATCAATTTTTACACCCTCCTCCAAATAAGGCATAGGTTTTTAATTAATTTGAGTTTATCTTGTTAAAAATGACATGTGGCTGCTAATGGAGCTTGAGAATAAAACCTCACATTTCTGAAATACAAATGAACTTCCTGACTTTGACATAGCTTAATGACAGAATCCTAAAAGTTTAATTTCTTTGCTGCTTTCATGAAAAGACTTAAGATTTTTCACACAAAATATAAACTTACCTGACTAGCACCCAAGTGAAGAAACAGAACATTAACATAAAAAGCACCAACCCTACTTAGAGACTATTATGTTAAGTGAAATAAGTCAGTCGGAGAAAGACAAATATCACATGATTTCACTTATATGTGGAATCTAAAAAACTGAATGAATGAGGGAAGTAGGCAGAGGTGGTCTCGGAGATATGGAGGAGCAACTGATGGCTGTTGGTTGGGGATGGGGTAGAGGGGGAGGCAGTTGGACAGCATAAATACATAGCTGCAGTATTGCCACAGGGACGTGGAAGACAGTTCGAGGAATGTAATTGATGGTGTTGTGAATATTTTGTGGGGTGTCAGGTGATCACATGTCTTGCTAGGGAGACCACATCATGGATGGGGAAGAGGCCTGATACACTGCACTGTACACCTGAAGCTGATGTTGTATAATAGTGTAAGTCAATTATAAGTGAATATATATACACACACACACACACACATATTCATGGGATGTAGAATATAGCGTGGGAGTGGAGTCAAGGGAATTGTAATAGATATGTATGATATTGAGGGCAAGTGGGGTGGCGGATTGGGGGAGGGGGGTTGTCACTTCGAGGGGTAAAAGGTATAACTATTGTACTGTGATGTACAGCTGAAACTAATTCTAAAAAATGTGTATTTCATAATAAAAAATAATTTTTAAAAAAAAGTACCAACCCTGCCCCCCTGTTCCCACTTCCAGTCACTACCCCATTCCACCAACAGGAATTACATTTAACCTTTAACATTTCACTTCTAGGAGCATATTACCCAAAAAACATATTGCCCACCCCTAGGGTGTATGATCTATACTTATGCTAATAGAATTTACAAGTACTAATATTACTTCAAAGCTTTCTTCAACTTAAAAACATAAGTAAATAAAAAAAAAATCTCAGAACTAGTTTTACAGTTTTCTTATTTTTCCTTAAAAAGCTATTCCAAAAGGACTGTGTCTCAAAATATATGTAACTGTTTGCTAGGTGACTTTCTGAAAAATGGATGAACAGGCTGGATAATTATTATAGGTATTTTCATATTGATGCAAGGAATTCTTTGGCATTGTATTTTAAAAGACATAATTTTGTCTTTTTTTAAATTCAGGCATAAATTATCAGCAAAGAAAATGGGTCCAAGTTACTTGCAATCGGGAGGGACAGAGGGAGGATGACTCTTGTTAATTTTTTTAAACATCTTTATACTGCAAAGAGGCCATAACACCCAAAAATCTAAGGTAACTAAGGTCAAGGAGTTCATTAGTTGGTATCAGGAAACAGTGTATCTGACTTCATTAAAAAGGACTAAGTGCAGGTGACATGGTTGTGGTATGTGTGTATCAAAAAGAATACAGAGACAGAAGTGTAAAACCTGGTCTTGCCCTTTCTGAGCCCAAATCCAACTACCTGTTTTCTTTCAGGTAAATAAAAACACATTTCTGGAAACGAGATCATCCCTCACCCCACTCCAACCTCTAGCTCAAGTCAGAGTTAGTACACTTAAACGAAAAAAAAGAAGACTCAGAAAAGTATTTTTTAAAGAATGATTAAATAAGCTAACATTTTTTAATTAGGACCAATAAGCTATCTTTGCTTTAATGCCCACGAGTCCAGTTGATTTTGCTTTAATTTTGACATATTATAGTTAAGGCAAAACAGACTAATTTTTTAGACTTTGGGTAATTTGTTTTATTGATAAAAGGTTAAAAATACCTCTAAGAAATTCACTCTTGGGTTACTGCTATTAATTTGATTTTGGAAACGTAATGAAAAATTTAAAAAATGAACAGGTTTCTGTGTGCTACATATCCTTTATATCACTAAAATTTACAATTAGCTATATAACTATTGGGTTGTCGGAAAAGTCATGAGGCATTTTTGTAATGAAAAACAGAAAAAATTCATCATGACTTTTCCGACAACCCAATATATACATTTAAAAACCAACAGGTTTACCTTCTAATAACAGTAACCATAAAACATGATAGGGTTTACCTTATGTTTCTTTTATCTATCTATCCATTCATGCACACGTGCGCACACCCGCACATACACATATACCCCCCCCCAATCCTTTCTTCCCTCCTTTTTAAGATACAAATAATGTAGTATATATATTGCTCAGGTATTCAGTCTTGAGTGAATTTCCAAATACAATAATCTAAAGCAGGTACCATAGGATATCAACCTACACAACATATTCATTCAAAGTCATTTATAAAAGAAACTCAAACTGCTTTTGAGCCAATAAACCATTTCTCTGCACTTAGGCAAATTTTAACTGCCACTGAGTATATTAAAGAGCTCAACTCCAACAAGGTCCTCTTAGACCATTTGATTTTTACTTCATAGAATGACTCTAATTCTTAAGAACTCTCTTGAAAAAGTCTAAGCCACCATTTTCAAAGTGAGCATAAAAGTCATATAAGGTATTTGTTAAAGATGCATAATCTTGGTCCTACTTCCACTTTTACCCTTTAGGCCTGGGATGGGGCCTGGGAACGTGCAGTTTCAACTCAGACTTCAGAGGATTATGACGCTGGGAGTCCAAGAAACAGATCTGGGAAAATACTGCGTATACTTTCAGCTAGCACCAGTCACGCTGAAGACTGACATGGTGGAAAAAGCAAAATAAGCAGTTGCTAAAACAGAGTTTTCAATTACTGTCACAAAAACAGGAGACTAACAACTGGGATTTCCTAGTAGAGAAGTAGAAAGGATTCAACAACAACTCTGTGTAGCAAAAGTATTCAGAATTTAGGTTAAAGGAAGCACTGACAGAAGGGGCACACAGAGGAACAAAAGGATGTCGTATTTCAAAGTGATTCTAACACATTCATAATGAAAGAAAAAGATAAATTATGTGAATTGGACAATGTAAGACAATGTCCACATTGTATTTTAGGTTTCCTAGTTGGAAAAAGCCAGAAGCGTGGCTCTTAGACTTGCAGCCATAGTGAGGAAGGTAAAGGCTAAGTACGATCATATTCTCAAATAATGTTCACCACCTAATTTACACAGTCATTCCTACACACCTTCAGCCCTGTAGCCACCACTTGCAAAGAAACCACTTGCAAAGCTACTGAAAACACAAGGCTATATAATACTTTTGAGCAAATCCTGAGTCTAAAATTGGAGTACTTGACTAGAGTACCAACCAACAGAAGTATATGAGTGTAGATCACACGCCAACGGTACTAGACACTGCTTAAAATCCCCCTTCTTATATGATTTTCATCACAGTAACATGATTCTGCAAAGTAATAGAATTTTGTTTCCTACATTGGCAGACAAAATATTTTTTAAATGTTTATAGAACTGGAGACTAAAAGTAAATAAAAACGGAAGGGAATTCGATCCTTAAAAGAAGGAAGAAACCACACTGGGTGATACTGCTAAATTCAATGTGTGATGTTGACCACATACAGGTTCAAAAATAACAGCCACAGATGATTATGTTGGAAACTGAGGCAATGTGAGCAACAAATGGATATTAGTTGATAGTAAGCATTACTGTTAATTTTCTTTAGTGTGCTAACAGTGTTGTGATAATGTAAGAGTACTGTGGTTACTTTTAAGAAACAAAAATTGTATTTAAGGGTAAGTGTCATATCTGCAACTTACTTTCAAACAGTTCAGCAGAAACTACCACAATCACACACACACAGAAAATACGGCAAAATGTTAACTACAGACTCGAGGTGGTGAGTATATGGGGAGGTTACTGTGCTATTCTTCAACACACTTGAAAATTCTCATAATAAATGTTCGGGGTGTTTTGGAGGGGGATACTTACGAGCATTCCTCAAACACTTTGACCCTTTCACAGCCCTCAGGAGGTTCTCTTTTAAACATGTAACTGTTGTTAGGTTTTGGTGAAGTTGCATATTTGGGCAAAGGAGAGTTGTTCCCGTTCTCTGCAATAAATGACATGCTGGGTTACCAAAAAATACTACTACATAAATGTCCAGTCATTCTGTATTTAATTGTTCTTGGCCTCCCCTGACTCCATGAACTGTCTGAGGGAAGAAACAGTGTTTTACTCATCAACATCTAACACCATTCCTGGTAAATAATTATTAACTATTAGAGAGATAATTATGAGGAGATAATATTTTATTTTTATTTCTTCTCCACTTAACAATTATCAGCCTAGGCTGTATCACTTCATCCTCAGTGATGAACACTGAACAATCTCACTGCTTTATTTCTATTCCATGCACAGTGAACAGATTCAAATGTCACTTCCATTCACCCCAACACAAGTAACTAAAATGGCTCTTCACTGGTTGCTTATCAATTACTTGTGCTCTGCCCTTCAGAATTTCTCAATTTGGTTTCTCTGCTCCTCAGGTTTTAAACTCTCTGCTCCAGGTAGTCAGAGTCACGTGTGCACAGTATGCCAAAGACTTCCTTTTGCCTAAGAACGTCTCCATACCTAAGGGATCCTTCTCTGTTGATTTCCCAAAACTGCATTTAAAGTCTGGCTCAAAGTTTTTGAAATCTTTCCAAATTAAACCTATCAAAAGTTACTCTGGTATTCCTGTTCAGTGCTGAAATCCTCAGTTTATATTACATTAACTTAAAATTATTGATATGTTACGTTAAGTGTTCTAAATTATCAGTCTGACTGTGACACATAAGCTACAAATTCCTTGGTGGCAGTAGCACTGGGGCCCTATTTTCTTAGAAAAGAAATTCAGAGAAGCTAGCCAGTCACTAGTCTCCTAAAGTCAAACACAGCAGGACACATAATTTATGAGTTCCTACGTGCTGTTGAAGTAAAACTAGAAAGTATGGGAAATCAAGGGCATATTTTAATAGCCATGTTTTTTGTTTGTGTTTTTTTTTAAGATTTTTTTACTGGGGAATTGGGGGAGGGGAACAGCGATGGAGAATTGGGGAAGGGGAACAGACCAGTTGCTGTCCTTTTGTTCTTCAGTCTAGTTGTGGAGGACATCGCTTCACTGGCCCATGTTGGTATTGTGATCACTGCGCTCTTTCCGGCTGAAGCAGATCGGTCCCCAGCCATTGGACGGCCGCTCACAGCGGCTCATGGCAACTCATGGCGGCTGCCGGCCACTCACACTGGCTGCTGACCACTCATGGTAGCTTACAGTAGCCCACTGCAGTCCCACTGCAGCCTACGCGTCGCCGGCGACTCACGGCAGCCTAGCTCCAGGTCGAGCTGTTGTTCACCATCTTAGCTGTAGAGGGCGCAGAGTTCACCGGCCCATGTGGGATCTGAACCAGCGGCCCTGCTGCTCAGAGCTTGTGCTCCCAAGCCAACTCTTAACCAACGTGCCACTCGGCAGGCCCCTAGCCATGGATTTTTAAATTGGGGGGGAGGGGGTACATTTGATTCAGCACTAACTATCAGGAGCTGTGCTAAATGTTTTGTATTCACTACCCCTTTTAATCCTTTAATACAAGTAGTACTTAATTATGCTGATTCCTGACAAGAAACACAAAGGATTTAACTGAGTAGGTGTTAAACTTGTGTGCACACTAGAATCCTCTGGGAGCATCAGAAACTCCTAGTGCCTATGTGCTACCTACAAGGGTTGTGATTTAATTGGTCTTCAGTGTTGGCCTGGAATAGCCATGTTTTAGTTAACCTAGAAGTTGGCAAAAAAAAGGACCAAATAATAACATTTTAAAAGCCCATAGTTTGGAGTGCCTTCTTCAGAAAATCCTATGTTCTCTGCAGTGCTAGTCTCAATAATTTAGGTGATTGGTAGTAATGGCGAGTTGTAACAAAGGAACATTTTAGGATGTCCGATACAATGTATGAAACCCTAAGTAAATAACTAATGAATTGAGCTGTAAAATTTGTAAGTATCTCACTATTGCTCTCAAGTACATGCAGTAACTAGGATGAGGCTAACAAAATGTTACCCTGATATAGATAGATGAAAGGTCCTATTTGTTTTAAAAAATTAAGAATATTAGTAATTAATATTCAAACTGCTTATGTCTCCAAGTTATATTTTTAAGTTGCATAAATAGTTTAATACTATAAGTATCCCTACAACCTTTTACTCCAGGCTTGCCTTGAATACTCATTTTGTATTAATATAAATCAGCTTAATTCTAGTTAGAAATACCACAAATATAGATCCTAAAGACCATTAACTTGAGGGGCCAGCCGAGTGGCTCAATTGGTTAAGAGCATGAGCTCTGAGCAACAGGGTTGCCAGTTTGATTCCCACATGGGATGGTGGGCTATGCCCACCTGCAACTAAGACTGAACATGGCACCTTGAGCTGAGCGGCCACAGGCTGCCAATGGGCAGCCGGATGGTGACTGGACTTGAAGCTGAGCTAGCTGCGCCCTCCACAACTAAGATTGAAGGACAACAACTTGGCTATTCCTCTTGCCCAATTCCCCAACACTGTTCCCCTTCCCCAATTCCCCAATAAAATTTTTTTAAAAACCCAAAACATTAACTTGAAAGTTTCACATTTAATTAAAAACTAGGGGGCCGGCCAAGTGGCGCGTTGGTTAAGAACTGGCTTGGGATGCCAGAGGGCCCCGGTTTGGATCCCACATGTGAGGTCAGTGACACTGCCCTCTACAGCTAAGATGCTCAACAGCAGCTCGACCTGGAGCTGGGCTGCTGTGGGTCGCCGGCGACGGCATGGGCTGCAGCCCCTGCTGCAGTGGGCTGTCATAAGCTACCGTGTGTAGCCAGCAGCCAGCATTAGCGGCTAGCAGTCGCAGTGAGCGGCCGTCCAGAGACCGGCGACTGGTCTGCCTCGCCCGGGAAGAGCGCAATGATGGTGCCAGCTTGGGCCAGTGAAGCAACATCCTCCACAACTAGACTGAAGAACAAAACGACAGCAATTTGTCTGTTCCCCTTCCCCTGATTCCCCAGCACTGTTCCCCTCCCCCAACTCCCCAAATAAAATCTTTAAAAAAAAACACACAAAAAAACTAGGAAGGTAGTAAAAACATGACAACTATGGTGACAAAACAAAGTGGTTCTCAGGACAAATGTTTACCTCATTTATACCAAAAAGAATGTTTCTCACTAATAAGGAACTTGTATTATTAACAAGTGCAAAAAACAAAAACATAAAAAGGTATACATAAAAGGTGCTAAACCCACCCAACCAGACCATCACTTAAACACCACAGTAAAACCTGTTTTGTACTCCAATTTTTTAAAAATCTATGTTTTAAAACAATCTCAAATTAATTACCTTAATAGCCTTAAGTGTGTGTGTTACGCTAGAAAATTAACAGAATGACAGATAAGCTAGGTGGTATTCCCTTATCATCTAGTAACAAAATGATCCTGCACTGTACCTTTATCCCTGGGATCAACAAGCAGGTCATCAGCTGAACAAGGGCTTTCCTCGCTACCTTCATTGGAGATGGTAAGGAACGATGTGGGGGACACAGACTGAGAGCGGCTGCTGTTGTTGCTTCCCCTGTCTGCCCCACCGGGGGTCTGCGTGTCAATGCTGCGTGTGCTGCTACTTCTCTGAACCAGTGGGGGAGGTGCCCGATGGCCATCTGGAATATCTTGTGGCTGGTAAAAAATGTTTCAACAAATATATGTTTACCACAGATTTTGAAATTCATCCAGAAATAAACACAATGTCAATCTTCCCTTGTTGTTCCAGAAGACTCATAAATCAGAATGTTCCTATTTATTAGGCCTAAAAAGAAAGCAGCTTTTGTATTGCTCTACTAGTGACATCCCTGTCTAATCGCCTCCCTCACTAGACACCGAGCAGCATGGGCAAAGACTTTGTATTTCCCGGGTCTGGCATATGACAGGTGGTCAATGCTTGTCAAATGATGAACTGCACTGATTTACTTATGTGATAAACACTATTTTAAAACTTATAAAGAAGGGCCATGGTAAAAGAGGAGAAATCTAGCTATAACACTAGGTTCCATATTAGAAGAAAAGGTTATCCATTGTGGGAACTCGTGATAACTTGCTTTTGGGCCCTGTTACCTTCTCCTGCTGCCAATTTCCCCTGAAAGGGTTTTTTCAAAGAAATCTTCCTACATGAGGGAAAGGTTAAACACGGAAGTGCTAATTATAGGGGGGGATCAAGGAGAACATTCGGAAAAAAGCTTGTGTGACTCATTTAGCAGGGAAGCCAGCTTCCTATTCACCTTTGGCTCATTTACTTTTATTACATCAGGGAAAGTTTCCCCCATCGTGCAGTATGGAGGAGAGGGTGTGGGGAATTGTGTTTTCTCTAATCTAAAGCAACTTTTGATCTTAAGGTAGAGGATCTTATACGTCAATAAAATACTACTTCAAACTACTCAAATTCTTTTTTCACTGGAGAATGAAGCTTAAATATACTCTGACATGGTTTTAAAGATAAACAGGAAATTTTCTCCCTGTGTCTTACGTATGAATCATTATGTGTATTACAGTTAGGCAGAACCAACTATATTGCACATTCTTATGTGCATTACAGATAAGCAGAACTGTACTTCATGATGATACAGTTAACCAAATAGTGACTGACAAGTAATAATAAACAGGTACATTCATGCTTAGAAAGTATCTGGTGTCATATCCATTCCTCTCCAACAAATCCACAAGCTAAACTTTTGTTAAATGGCGCTATAGCAATTAGAAGTATACCACCTGTCTAGTGATTTTAAAATACAGTTTCTGTTCAAGGATCCAAATTTAAGTCACATCAGTTGTCTCTGTGAGATGCAAAGAAAACTTCATTTTCTCTCAACAAGAAGGAAGAAATCTAAGTAAATATTGAAAACGAAATTGTGAATTTTTTTTAATAATTAGAAGATTTAACATGTAAGGATGATTTTAATATACAAGATTACTTACTATAAGTTGTTCTTCCTTTTCCCCAGTCTCTTTAATTATTATTTCAATCTCCTGATTCAAACCTTCCACACTATTCCGGAATCGGGAGCCTGTTGATTTGGTGATGGGAATTACTGGAATAAGTGCACTCTTTGGAACAGGAGCCTTGAGAAAAAAGCGGTGGAGGGGAGAGAAGAGTTTTAATATTACCTTTTAATTTTCTAGATTGAAATATACTTCTAGTTGACATTAGTAACTCGAAAAGAAATCAAATACAGTTTACAGGCCTCGCAAAAAGTGGGAGTAACCAAACCTATTACTTGGTAAACATGAAATATAATTTACAGCCAAAACCCCAGACAATGAAAGTAGACTTTCAGAAGTTTATTCACACCTATGAGGGACTGTAAAGGGAATAGGATGAAGGAAAACCCTTAATGTCTATCTCAGAAATTCTTTTATGACTGTAACAGAGTTCAGATTTCAGAACATAACTTTAAAATCCTTTAGTGCCATAATTAAGTATAATCCAGGAAAGAAACAAAAAAAAGAGTTGAATTATCAAAAAAAAAATTTTGGTTGGAAAAATAAAATTACTTCCAAAATCCATATATAGTAAGTAGCAAGATTGAAATAAGAGTTAAGTTTCCTGTAAAATATATTTATACTTTCATTGTAATTAATTTTAATGTTTTTTTCAGGAAAGAAAATGACATAATTCATTTTTGTTTTTTTCCAAAGCCTATCTCTAATTTTTTTTAATATTTTTTTTCCACTGACACAGTATTACCGTATTTCCCCATGTATAAGACACACCATTTTTCGAAAAATTTGGGGTCTAAAAACTGGGTGTGTCTTATACAGTCGTTGTATGAGCACAAAAGAAGCAGTTAATGCAAGTAAAAAAACAAAACAAAAACTACAACCACTGTATAAGACGCACCCAGTTTTTAGACCCCAAATTTTTCGAAAAGGGTGTCTCATATATGGGGAAATACGGTACTTCTGAAATTATGTAATTACAGGACAGTACTTGGTTTCCTGACAAAATACTGAAAATAAAACATGAAAGAAGAATTGCAGTTATCTGCAAAGTTAATAGCAACAGTGTGCCAGAAGGTCATCCTGCTGCCTGGTAAAGAAATGTTATTAGCCCATCCTTCATGTAGGAAGGTTTGTAAAACCGAACTTTCAGGGTAAGGTGGTCAAGGGGACAACAGTAATAGGGCCTCTAATCAATTATCACTAGTTTCATTCAACGGATAACTTTGTCGTCTGATAGAGAACTTAGTGTTAAATCTGTATTTCCCCTCTTTCATTCCTGCTCACCTTTATAATTGAAAAAATTTAAAAATAAGCATAACAAATAAAGACAAATACTATGTTCAGGAAAAAAACTAATTTCTCAACATTTTCTGCTCTACCTAAAGGAACAAAGCCCCATCTATCCTACATGCATCACAAAACCAAAGAACTCTCTTCCTTTAAGTTTATCTGACCAAAAGCCAATATATACATATAACACACACACACACACATTTATATTTCACACAGAAAAAAAGACTACTGTCCCAAAATATCAAGAGTAAGCTATAGTTGGGTAGAGGGATTAAAGGTGATATATTTTTCTTCTAGATTGTTTTTCTATAATCAACCTGAGTGGAGAAACTGTCTTATTCATCTCCTTACCATCACTGCCGAACACAGAGTCCTACAACAGACATGATGCTTATTCAACAAGGCTGGAGTCAGACTGTATGAATGTCTGTGTCCCCCTAAAATTCACATGTTGAAGCCCTAACCCTCAGTGTAGCTACAGTTAAGAGACAGGGGCCACAAGGAAGTAATTAAGATTAAATGAGGTCATAAGAACGGGGGCCGTGATTCAATATGATTAGTGTCTTCATAAGAAAAGACACCAGAGTGCTCATTCGCTTGCGTTCTTGCTCGCTCTCCCTCTCCACACATGCACACACATGCACACACACACAAAGGAAAGGCTATTTGAGCACATGACACACATACACACTAAGGAAAGGCCATTTGAACACATCACACACACACACACACACACACACACACACACACACACAGGCCATTTAAACACGACACACACACACACCAAGGAAAGGCCATTTGAGCACATCACACACACACACACACACACACACACCAAGGAAAGGTCATCTGAGCACATGGCAAGAAGGCAGCCATCTGCACGCAAGGGAAGAGCTCTCAGCAGACACAAACCCTGCTGGCACCTTGATCTTGGACTTCCAGTCTCCAGAACTGTGAGAAAATTAATTTCTGTTGTTTAAGCCACTCAGTTTATGGTATTTTGCTATGGTAGTCCAAGAGAATACAGTCACCATTAGTTTATTTTTTTACAGTTTTCAATAGTCTAAAGGGCTTACTTAAACATAATCCTGAGATACAGTGATTGAGAGAACTTTAATATGGCCATAAAAACTTTACTCTGAGAAACTATTTTTAACTGGCATTGTTTTCTTTATTGCAAAAGCAACAAGTATTCACTGAAGAAAGAAAAATGGAATTCAATCACCCGGAGATAATAAATGTTACTAATTTGATAAATATCCTTCTATCTAGCCCTTTTTCTCTGTGCATGCACATTTTTAACCAAAAACAGATTGTAACTTGTGTTCTATAATTTATTTTTTATTTTCTATATTTCTAACATCTAAGCTTTAAAACTCTCATTTACCAAATCATTTTTAAAGCTGCATATTATTTCACTGTATAAGTGTATTAAGAAACCAATGCTCTGTTATTGGACAAATATTTTCCAGTTTTTCACTATTCAAACAAATGCTGCTATGCACATCCTCTTAGACAAATATTTGCACACAAATGTAAACATTTCCTTAGGATTAATTATTGGGACAGGAGGGACTACTGGTTCAAAATGTTTTTACTATTGCCTCAAAAATGATTTTAAGGACTTTGATGATTCACATTCCCCAACTGAACAGCAAAATACTTCTACTCCTTACAGTATCTGTACCTTCACTGCAGCATTATTTAGGACAGCCAAGACGTGGGAAAAAACCTAAGTGTCCACTGGCAAATGAATGGATAAAGAAAATGTGATATACACATACACAATGAAATATTATTCGGTCATAAGAAAGGAAATCCTTTTATGACAATATAGATGAACCTGGAGGGCATTAGGCTAATTAAAATAAGTCAGAGAAAGAAACATACTGTGTGATGTTTCTTATATGTGGAATCTAAAAAAAAAAGAAGAAAAAGAACTCAGAAAAAGGATTAGATAGGTGGTTGCCATGGGCAAATGGGAAGAGGAACTGAGTGAAGGTGGTCAAAGAATACAAACTTTCAGTTATAAGAGTCACATGATAAATACGTCTGGAGATCTAATGTACAGCATGGTGACTATAGTTAACAACAATGGATTATATACTTGGAGGTTGCTAAGAAAGTAGATATTAAAAGTTCTTACCAGAAAAGAAAAAAGGTAACTCTGAAATGATGGATGTCTTAACCTTATTCTGGAAATAATCCCACAATATATACATATATCAAAACCATCACATTGTACATCCTAAATACACAATGTTATATGCCAGTTGTATCTCTATAAAGCTGAGGAAAAAGGGTAAAAATGATATATTGGAATTCTTTAAAATTATTTTTAAAAACTTTTGCTCTGTGAAAGAAAGTATTCAGAGAATGAAAGACGTTAAGACTAGGAGAAAATATTTATAACTTACATAGCCAACAAAGTATTTGTATCTAGGATATATAAAGATCCCTCAAAACTCAACAATAAAAAAACATACAGCCCAATTTAAAAATGGGTAAAAGGCTTAAACATACATCAAACAGGATATACAGATGACAAACAGCCATATGAAAAGCTGTTCACTAGTGTAACACAAATTAACACCAAGATGCAATACTACTATACATCTATTACAATGGCTAAAGTAAAAAAAAAAAAATACTGACAATATCAAGTGCTGATGAGGAAACAGAGCAAATGGGATTCTCATACACTGCTGATAGGAAAGCGCAATGGCACCAACATTCTGGAAAAGTGTTATAGTTTCTTATTAAGTTCAACATACAACTACAAGATGAAGAAGCAATCCCATTCCTGGGTATTTTACCTTAGAAAAATGAAAATTTATGTTTATACAAAAATCTGTAAAGGAATGATTATAGCAATTCTCTTCATAATCTCCAAAAACTGGAAACACAAACATCCTTTAAAAAGACTTCAAAGGGAACAGATAAAACAGAACAGATACAAAAGACTTCAAAGTGAAACAGATAAAACATGGTAGTCCATGTAATGGACTACTCCTCAGTAATAAAAAGGAACAAAGTATTGATACACACATCTTGGCACTACTACTGAGTGAAAAACGACAGTCTAAAATGATTACATACTATTGAATAAATTCCATTTATATGATTCACAAAAAGGTCAGATTAGAGTGATGGAGAACATAACAGTGGTTACAAGAGGTTAAGGGATGGGCAGAGGATGTGACGATAAAGGGATAACACAAGGAAGTTTTGGGGGATGATGGGATTGTTCTGACACAATATCCTGTGTCACAGTATCTGACTGTGATGGGTGGTTACATGGGTCTATAGATGTACTAGATGTATTAAAATTCATGTAACTGGGCCTTCAAGTGGCTCAGTTGATTAAGAGCATGAGCTCTGAGCAATAGGGTCACCGGTTCAATTCCCACATGGGCCAGTGAGCTGCACCCGAGCTTAGCTCCCGCTGAGCTGCCAACAGGTGGCAAGATGGCTCAGCTGGTGAGAGCATGTGCTCCTACCAAGGTTGCCAGTTCAACTCCCACATGGGATGGTAGGCAATGCCCACCTGCAACTAAGATTGAATACGGCACCTTGAGCTGAGCTGCCCGGAGCTGCCGATGAGTGGCCAGATGTTGACTGGACTTGGAGCTGAGCTAGCTGCGCCCTCCACAACTAAGACCGAAGGACAACAACTTGGCTGTTCCTCTTCCCCCATAAAATCTTACAAAAAAAAAAATTCATGTACCTATATGCCAATCAAAAAAATGTCAATTTTACTATATGGTAATTCAAAAACAAAAGGAAAACTTACTAACCAACAGGATTATTTTGCATCATGTTCTTGT